AGTTCCATGGCCCCCTCCTTGGNTTTTTTTATGTTTACGTTATAAACGAAAATAGAAACAACTCGATCGCTACTTTCCCCGTAAACGAAATTAGAGTTTTATGTTTTAAAACTAATTTTTTTTCAAATATTATTTTTGGTCAAAAGGTATAAATCCAGACAACGACCGCGTGTCGATCGAATTACTATAGAAGCAATATGGCGACGATTGTGTTTGTATTCCACACTGGCGTTCTTGTTCTCGACCACGAATAAACAAACTGTCCCTCTACATCCCACTTCAATTGTAACATAATAACACCATTGATACGTTCCAAGGATTTGGTTCCGTGAAAACGTCGCATATACTCCTATATATATATATTTTTTTTTCTTCACCCTTCTCTCATACACTGCGATTGCATAAAGAAACAACGTTTATAATCGTCTAATATTGTCTTTATAATCGAATTTAATTTATTATTATTATTTTATTCGAATTTATCTCTCTTTAGGGTTATTGAAAAATTAAATATTATCGATAACTCTTAGTGATAAAGACGGTAAAAGTATATCTGCTTCGCTCGATAAAAATCTTTGATATGGAGAAAAACTTTAATCTAAATCTTATCTGGAACTGATTATAAATTATGCAAAAGCTAATTAAGATTTACGAAATATTCCGATAATGTTACAATAACATAAAACATGCTTATTCTATCCGTCACGAATTTATTAATAAAACAAAATACGTGTGATTAATTGGTTCAAAAAAAAAAAATTCCTTTAAATTTAAAAGAATTGGTAAACTTTCGGAGTTTTTAGACGGTAAAATAAACATTTTAAGGGCCAATAAGTGACGTATGTTACCATTGAGCGCGATAAATATTAATTTGAGAACGAAAATATGGTAAATAATATTTTAAAAATTCATGAGAAATGATTTACAATGGGTCATAAAAATTTGATATATAATACTTTAAGGAATTAAAATTCTTTTGGAAAATGTTATATGTGGTCTTATAAATATGTTAAATAATTCTTTGAGTTGTTTAAAATTTGGGAAAGCTTATTCGAAATCTTAAATTTTACTTTGAACAGAGTTAAAAATGTGATAAACTAGAAATATTATTCTAAGAAATTCGGGTTAAGATATGCAATCATTTGATATATCAAGTAATATTTTAACACTTTAAGGACACAATTAACATAAATTTTGGCATCTTTTATGTTTCTGAATACAAATTTAAAGGTAAATATATATAAAAGTACAGTAATCATAAAACTTTTAACAATATTTATAATAAATTAAACGATTAAATATAAAAATTTATCCCTTTTGACAATAGGCGACAGTGACAAGTCCGACCAGACGGTCGACTCTAATTGGTCGACCTTGTTCTCTCCACTCTTGTCATCCGATACATTACGCTCTCCAATTTATCACCTCCAAATAAAAACTATATACCCGGATTTTATATTATATTATACATACATAAATATATATATATATTCTTAATGGTTTGCATAGGAGTAACCAAATGATATAAACAAGGTAAAATATAACTTTATTCCAGGTTTATTAATAACTGGTTTCTGACGTCATAACTCTGTGGTAATAATGGTGTCATTGGAAATATTGGCTACCATCCAATGAATTGCTTGGCAGAATCGGCGTTTATACAAATATATGCAACAGATATCCCTACGAGAATTACAGATTTAAACACAAGTATAGATTTAATAAGGTCCTTCTAGTGTATTTTTACCTGGTTTTTTTATGTTTACGTTATAAACGAAAATAGAAACAACTCGATCGCTACTTTCCCCGTAAACGAAATTAGAGTTTTATGTTTTAAAACTAATTTTTTTTCAAATATTATTTTTGGTCAAAAGGTATAAATCCAGACAACGACCGCGTGTCGATCGAATTACTATAGAAGCAATATGGCGACGATTGTGTTTGTATTCCACACTGGCGTTCTTGTTCTCGACCACGAATAAACAAACTGTCCCTCTACATCCCACTTCAATTGTAACATAATAACACCATTGATACGTTCCAAGGATTTGGTTCCGTGAAAACGTCGCATATACTCCTATATATATATATTTTTTTTTCTTCACCCTTCTCTCATACACTGCGATTGCATAAAGAAACAACGTTTATAATCGTCTAATATTGTCTTTATAATCGAATTTAATTTATTATTATTATTTTTTTTTTTTTTTAAAGGTTAGATGTATAATTATGGAAACAATTCAAGGTTAATCAAGGTACTAAGAGTGGAGCCTTTAAACCGTTATATCTCGTATGTCTTCTCTTTCTAGGAAAAATTGACATTGGCAACGAGATCCGTGGTAAAATAATGCTTCGTTCCATATAAAAGATTATTATATTACCTTTCATTAATTAATTTATTATCTTACGTAAGCCGTCCGATAGTCACGTTTTTCTTAAATTAAACTTTATGGCCCGCTGCTATTTTAATTTAAAATGCTTTTTTTAAGTGACTTGCAATTGATTTTAAAAATTCCAAATATGTTATTTGGTTTTAATAGGTGTTTTATTATTAAAAGTTATCTGTAATTATCGTTATGAGTTTATTTAACTTTTACATTCTGATAAAACTTTATCTGATAATTCACACCGAAATTAGAAATAAATTCAATACAGCATTTTTATGTAATTATGAAAATCCCTAAACAAAAATGGATTCTGAGGGAAAATTTTTATTAAAAAAAAAAATATATATATATATATATATAGGCCTATATATACATTCTAAGTAACGTTTCAGGCAATTATAAAGTTATCTTTAACGTATAGATAAATTTAAGGTTATGCCTATAGAATTCAATAGAATATTTAATTCTATTAACTCTCTTATATAAATTCGTATCCATTTATAGTATCTATAAGAGTTGTGTATGGTGGTATGTATAGTCTACGGACATATATAACACCATACACGACTCCACGTATATAGGCTACTTGAGTTTGTACTATATACACGAATATATGTACGGACCCACAAAACATACAAATTATACATATAGACACCTAAACATACACATATACAGTAAAACCTGTTTAAAACGGAAACCTGCCAAACGAGAACAGTACTTCTATGCGGTGTTATTCCAGTTAAATTTTACACAGATGTGTTCTAAATGATTTAAAATATAAATAGGAACAAAGCCCACTCTTGTGTTACGTATAACAATAAAATATTTTTCGTATTTCTTTAGTGAAGCTCACGAAATTTATCTCGACGAAATATTTAATTAGATGATGAAATTCTCAAAAAATCAGGTTTTCAAAAATATTGTAAAATCAGAAAAAAAAGGGAACACTTTAATTACGAATAAAAGCATTCTTACGAAAGTTAATAAATTTAATAAAGAAAAACTATTTACAAACATTAATAATAATTATTTAACTGTCGTGAATATAAAACTGCTCAAATTATTATGAAAGAGGCATGTTATACTTATGAATAGAATGCGACCTTGAACGGAGGTGAAGTAAAATAAAAGCGAATGAGATGTAACAAAAGATAACAGTCGAATAATGTTTAAAGAAAAAAAAAATTCAGCGGTTTTAAGGGAGTAAAATACCGATAGGAAAGTCCTCCATAATTTCAAACATAGCAATTGAGCAATCAGAAAAATCCAGAAACAATAAATAATTAATATAGATATGTGTGTGTGTGTGCAGCATACTCGCTGTTATCTCGAAAAGTCGACGCAATATACCTGTTAAATTCGTGACTTACAATGACCCAACTGCTTTATCCACCTTGCTCTCTTTCGAGATGAACACGATCGTTTANTAACTCGGTATAAATGGAGTATAGATTTACTTTTTCTTAAGACAATATAAAATTACAACAGAGATAAATTTCAATTGAAATTAAAAATGAAAGGCAACTTTCCACCCACTCCGAATATTTTCAATTTAAGAAAAAAAGAATTTATACAAATATAAATTGCATTGCAATGGTAGATCGAATAAAAAGTATGAACGTGGCACATATAATTGGAAACCTCATACATATATTGGAAAAGTGAAATGGCGACCTTGTTAGGTCAAGGTATAATCGAGAGACACTTCGTTCGTTATGGTCCAATTGACTGGAAATACGAGAAACTTAACGACGAAAGCTTTTTCTTTGATCCAGAACTGTAGAAAGATCATTTTTACTTTGATTTAGTCATTTTAATAATAACGAACTTAGAACCGCATAATTAAACGATTTTAAAATTACAAACAAGCTATTGTTGCTTCTAACACCTAATTATACTTATCGCTCTGTGTTATGGTGTAAGGACACACGAGGAAAAAGAAAAAAAGAATCGAGAAAGAGGAAAAAAATGTATATTTTTCTGTTGTATAAGTTTTAATTACAGTCACACGAACTCAAATATTGTTACAGGACATAATTACTGTAACAATGGGATTATTTGCAAGTTTAACAAACAATAGAAAACATTATACGATTATATTACAACAATTCCTTCATTAATTTTTACCTTAAATCAATTTGAAATAAAAAATAATAAAATAAATATAATAATCATAATAAAAGCTCTGTGTAACTTATAAATTTCTAAATTATAAATATATAAGTTACTAATTCATAACCGAAAATAGCACGAGTACGTTTAAATAATATCGAGTTGTATTGTAAAGAATGACAACTTTGATGTTAATTAAAAGTGTCGCCGGAATTGGAGACATTTCAGACGTCACGTCATTCGATTTTATACAAGGAAATTATTACCAAATAAAACAGTATAAATTTTTACTGATGTTTCATAAATTTCTTAATATATTTTTGAGGAAAATGCTAATTAAAAGTTTATTTCTAATACGAAATGTTTAAAAATATTTAAAAATTAATAAGCATCAACGAATGTCTGAAGTTTTTACAAATTTTTAAAAAATATTATTTTATTTTATTTATTTATTTAGTAAATTTAATTGTAAGCAATTATTACTTCATGTTTTTAGCTAATATGTCTGGAGTACTTCTGATTTTTATCGCTTCTTTTGTACCACATCTGACTATATCAAGAGGTAAGATATTTTAAAGATAAGATATCTTAAGTATACAATATTATAATTATGCTTAATTTTTAATTTTAGGACAAGCATGCTTCGGATTTGATACATTTGAGAAAATATTTTCAACTGGATTCAATCCACCAGGAGCGGTGGTTACAAAACTTGAACATGGAACTCCTGATGCTCCTACAAAGCATTGCTTACATTTATGTGGAGAGAAACGAGAATGTCTCTCTTTTACATTGGATTTGCAAAACAAAATATGCTATTCTCATAACGTGAATTCGTTGGGAAGTAAAGAATCTTTAACTACCGCTTCAAACAGCGTTTTCTTTGAACAAATCTGCTTCCAAAGAAAAGGTAATGGAAATTCAGCAAAGAATTTCTGTTAATTTCTTCATCTTTTCTGTATTTTAACTAATGATTATTTCAGATAGTACTGAACGTTGCAAAGAAAAGTTGTGGGCGTTTGAAGTAGAGAGGAATGCCTTCCTCGTAGGACACGTGGAAAAGGAATTAGACCATATCTTATCGCGTTATGAATGCGAAAAAAAGTGCTTCAACGAAGATATGTTTGCATGTCGATCTGCTGATTACGACGAAAGAAATAAAATTTGTAGGCTAAGCAAAGAAGACCGATGGACTCGTCCTGATGATTTCTTGCGAGATCAATCTGGAAGCCATCGATCTTATTTAGAAAACCAATGCATTTCAGCTGGTAAGTTTGATATTTTATACAATAAACTCATTAAATAAAATAAGTAAATGAAATGTAATGTATTAAAAAGCTAAAACTCTAAGAAATTCACTTCGCAATTATGGACTTTCTATGATCCAAAGTATAAGACATTATAATATTTCTTAATAATTGTTTGCTAGCGTAATTTTGTAAAAGCTATGTAGAAACTAATTCATAATTTTTTCTCTTATTTGCTACTTCTCAAAATTATTATAATTATTAACAATTTACTTAAAATATTTATTTAATGTTACTATTATTAGCTNATAAGCTAAATGAGTGTTAAATATTAAAGGAAATAAAATGATTTATTTATTGTTAAAAATTAATTTGAATTAGATTTGAGAGAGAGAGTTTTTTTTTAGTATTTCTTCCCATACACCCAGGCAATTAAAAATTCGTAAGAGGGTGATATAAAAAAACGAAGTAAAAGTTGTCTTTAAAACGTAAGCTTTGAAGTAAATTAATATCTTAATTTTATACAAATTGAAAAGACTAAAGATATAAACCCGTTTTGTTTCGTAACAAAGTTTTATATGCTAATTAATTTCTTAAACCACAGGCAATAATTTTAAAGTAATATTAAAAGAGTGATTATTTCTATCAAGATCGGTGTTTAGTTAAAATAGTTGATTGTTCGGCGAAACATAATTAATATATTCTATACTTTCTATATCATGATCTTCATTAACATTTAATCAAAAACAGAAAATGTCTGTATTTAATTTTAAATGTATAAACAGAAAATAAAATAAAATAAAATAGTACACGAAATCGAATTTAAATTATTTTTATCAATGAAATTCAAAGTTAATTTGCTGATATTTTTCCTTAGTAGAAATTTGAATAACTATTGTTACATAAGACGAGACTTTTTGAGCTAATTTACAAACTTTACTCATAAATTTTTAATGTGTCAGTTCACGACTTTTCCTTTATTTAAAGGTTAAAGAAGATTCAAACTTCAAACTTATCATTTAACTCGTAAGTCTGTTATGTCTAGAGGAAAGTTTCATAACCGATAACGAGGAAAATACGATTATTCATCGTCACATACATACAAACAAACAGACAAACAAAACAAAAGAAACATAACTTTTATATCAAATACTTTCTCTCTATCTTTTTGCTGCAGCAATGATATCTTTTATTCAATATGACATAATAAATGAATATAAAAGTGGTTTATTTAACCTTAATTAAAACCATCCCAATAACATTTTATAGATAATATAACTAATAAACATCAGATAAAGGAAATGTAGTTGCAACAATTGTTTGACCTTCTGCATGTGTCCAATAGAAGGAATAGAAGGTCTACAGCTATTGTCCATCGCGTGACTGTACTGATGCAAATGGTTCCGCCTCTGATGTTACGATATGGAAGATAAACTCGTTATATGATTTTTTAACATACCCAAACCCCTGTTTACATAACAGAATGTTGGAAACTGAGTAACTCGGTTATGCCACGAAATCACTACGGTCCACCTCTAAATAATCAGGTTAACAGGTGAGGAAAAACAGACAAACATCGGTATCGCTTACAGCAGATGTGATTATGAATATAATATACTGTATACATTTTTTTTTTCCTCTTTCTAACCCCTATTTCTTGCCCTCCATTCACCAAAACAGCAGATGTTAGCCTTAACCAGCAAACAAAGCCTTACCAGTGCCTAAGTCTTAATTGTTTGCGCCTTTTTTTTTTTTTATTGATATTTTTGATAATTATTACATCTTTAAGCATTTATATATATATATTGTAGATCGAGTTACGTAATGTAAAAATACTTTAAAAATCGTGGCACCCCTTCTATTATCGTAAAATCAATCAATAAGCATATAAAAAAGATTACAAAATCAATATCGTTCGAATAACCCAACAAATTTTTTTTTTTTTTTTTTTTAAATAAGGAAAAGAACAAGTAAAATAAATATTTTTAAACGAAAAGGAATTGTTTAGGAAATTTATTTCGGTTTTCTTTTTTTACTTTTATCATATTCTCGAATGTATGCGATAAAATAGTTGTTAAATGCGAGAAAACAAAATTTTATCGCTGTTTCTTGTTTATGTAACCGAAGAAAATTCTTCGATTGATAAAAAAAAAAAAGAAAAATAAATGTTTGTGTCATTTAATTTCAGTTATAAACAACTAAAACTTAAATTTTCCAATGAGTTTTAAAAGCAAAAAATAAAATAATAATAATAATAACAATACATTAAAGTGTAAAGTTTATAACCATTCGTAGATAGAAAGTAAAAAAAAAACAAATTTCGATAACAGAATTACTGAATTAACTACATTAATAATATTTATGTTCTAAATATACAACATCACATAATACCCAAGTGTAAAAATATAAACATACATCCACCCAAAAAAACAAAAAATACACTCAGAAAAAATGACATTAATAAAAAATAATATAGTATATTATTCCATTAAAATACTGTAAACTTAATATTCTGATATATTTTATTTGATAATAAACATAATATTTATTATTATTATTATTATTAATTAATATATTTGTATAAGTGTTATATAAACATCATTTCGAATAACTTATCATTTGTGACATTATTATGTTTGAAAGGATATTATTAACAGAAATAACACGTATAAATGATTATAACTAACAAAAGAACATAGTTAAATGATTATAATTCCAATATATATATATATAAAAAAACGTTGTAAGTATATTATTATCAGAAAAAATGCCTTTAAAATATATTATTATAGCGAATATAAACAAAATCTAGTGTTTTGTAAACAATCCATAAAGAAGCGTGTTTAAATAAATAATATTCTATAAATCTTTAAAGAAATCAAATATTCAAATAAATATAAACAATTTATTAGAATAAACTCTGTAATTAATTATCATTAAACTGTTTAAAACTCTTGTATACTGTATAAGATTATTTCTCTTCATCTTCCTCAATATTTTACATTTATGTAGTTCGTGAGCTCGTATTTACACGTAAGTAGAAGAGAAAGGAAAGTCACACGCTTTCTAGAGGAAACTGAGTACGACACGGAGAAGAAATAAAGGAAAAACTTTCGGATAATCATAATAATAGAGGAAAAGGTAAGCGCACATACAAACATACAAACACACACACACACACACTATCTCTCTCGATTCGTGTTATATAGGCTATTGTGTTTAATCACATAAATTATATAAAAGCGTATAAATCATACCAGAAAGAGATATTATTCCACTTGCGTTAGAATTATTTTATTTTTGATGATTAAAACATGTTGTTGCATAATTAGATGTAGTTTTTTTTTTTCTTTTTTAATCTATGTCCAAGTCATCTCAATGACTGATATTTAGTAATATCAGTTAGTGAGATATCATTAAATTTATAGATATCTATGTAATTCTTGTATTGTTTTTGATTTCCTTGTGAAAATGGATACTCG